AATAAACCAGTCGGGGTGATTTCGCGCTAACACCTCCATTTCGCGTTTTTTTTTAATTTTATTTAAACTACAAAAACAAATTAATCGCCCCGACTGCGCCAGTCTAATATGGGGGCTGCCATCTTGAATACAACATGAAACTAAATAAAGAAACAAGTTGTTAAATGTGTTTTTCAGATTCCCACAAATCAGCAAAAAAAAATACCAATATTTCACAGCCAAACCAACCGATGGTGTATTATTGAGCCAATCGCTAACAAGATTTGGCCGAATTAATCGTTTTTGTGTACGAGCATCTAATTACACGATTTTATTTTTTATTACAAGGTGCAAAAATTAGCCAGAAATGAGGTATTAATGGTGAACATTGGATCTTTATCTACCGGTGGTAGAGTATTTGCTGTAAAAGCTGATTTGGCTAAAATTATGTTAACAAATCCTGTGTGTACAGAGATTGGTGAGAAAATAGCCCTCAGTAGAAGAGTGGAAAAACATTGGAGGTAAGTGTTAAATACTGTAAAATACTTTATTTTCGCTTGGAATTAATTTTCAATGAAGGAATGATTCAGTGAAAATAAAATCCAGCGAATATACTTTTTTTTCTATATTTTACATTCAACTCTGCAAAAATCAGTACAAATAAAATCCACACAAAACATCCAAAATGTGTTTTCAGCGAAAATTAATTCCAGGTAAAATAAAGTATTTCAATTACAGTAGATATGCATGTAAACTGAGGTGTGCATCTCTTATACAACTTTGACAATGCAGCTTTTGTAGGACTTGCTTGTAATAAGTAATATTTTTACCAGGCAACTTATTAACAATATGTATACACAAAATGTAACTGTCTTTGTCCGATTCACCTTTTTTTTTCTGAAGCCAACCTTCCATGGTCGTCTCTACAACTCATATTTGAGCATGTTAGGAAAAGCTGTATTTGACGTCAGTTAAATTGAATGATTTAATTGGGCGCACCAAGGAGCTGGATTCATCAATCAGCATTCCTGTAACAACTATACCCACATCAATTTCAAATTTAAACCAATATATATTTTGTCATCTTTAATATCACGTCATAGCTTAAAAAAAAAGCTTGTGACTTCACCTTAGATTCCCCATGGAAATGCATTGCAATACTCCATGTTCTATTATACAGGGGGAATTCAACAAAGGTATAATAGTAAGTTGACAGCCGAATAAATGAACCTGACTGATGAACATGGCATAACTGTACAAATTCCTGAGCTTAAAATTGACCTTTTTAAGAACTATTCTTCTGAAAAAATACAGAACAACTTAGAAATTAGATTTTCATTTTGGGGTTTGACAAATCCTTTTTACAACTGAGCTCTTGTTATTGCGTAAAAAACTTGTGTATTCTATTATGAAATTCTTCAATGATACTACAAATTAGATAATGTAGTAGTTTACATTATTTTCACTTTCACATACAATACTTGATGTAATACCACAAGGAAATTCTGGTTTTTTAAACCATTCACCACAAAGTGCATGTTTGAATTTGGTGTAAATAAACAATGTATTTCAAACGTGTTGCATGCGTCGCTATGAGTCCCATATCGAATACGTCGCTGTGAGTCCCATATCGAATACGTCGCTATAAGTCCCATATCGAACACGTTGCTATGAGTCTCGTATCGAATACATCTCATAGTAGTGTTATGAAGCTTCTTTATACATTCATTGTTGCATATCTAGTAGACTTGGCATTCAGTGTTGCACAGAGTGGTATCGGGTACTGCTTATCATTTTGCATGTGTCTTTATGCTTTAACAATGTATTATGCTAAGCTGTTACTCCGTTGATCAAAAGACGATGTACCTAGATAGTGTTCTTCACCATTAAATTCTGTATTTTGCTCATTTTCTTCAGGTTGATTGGTTGGGGTCAAATTCGAAGAGGAGTAACAATCCAACCATCAAATCCGAAAGATGAATAAAGCTACAACCTGAACATTTAGATTACATTCTTCTACACAGCTTTCTCAAGAAAATCTGAATTATAATACAACTATTTGACAATCAAACCTCTAAGAAAGGGCCCTAATTGTCTTTAGGAAATGTGGCATGTTTTTCATTGCAATATTTGCCTTTATTTGGTATATGTAGCGTGTCACAATGTTGAGACATT